GCAGTCTTTACCACTCTCTGCAGGCACTTGCGGTCCATAGCAGTAGTGCTGCCATACCAGACAGTGATGCAGCTGGTCAAGATGCTCTCAATGATGCAGCTGTAGAAGTTGCCGAGGATCCTAGGCGACATGCCAAACCTCCTCAGCCTCCTCAGGAAGTACAGCCGCCGTTGGGCCTTCTTGACCAGCTGTGTGGTGTTATGTGTCCAGGTGAGGTCCTCACTGATGTGGACGCCCAGGTATTTGAAGCTGCTCACCCTCTCCACTTCGAGCCCCCAGATGAACAGTGGCTGATGAGATCTCCTCTCCTTCCTCATGTCCACTATCATCTCCTTCGTCTTGTCCGTGTTGAGGCTGAGATTATTGTCCTTGCACCATGACACCAGACCAGCCACCTCCCTCCTGTAGGCTGCTTCGTCCCCGCCAGTGATGTGACTGCAAACTTTAGGATGATGTTGTCCTTGTGGGAGGCAACACAGTCATGGGTGAACAGGGGGGTATGGGACTGAGGACACATCCCTGTGGGGTGCCGATGTTCGTGATACTGTTGGCTGAAGTCCTAACTAACTGTAACTAAACACAGAAAACCACATAATTAACTCCCAGGACTTCGCAACGAAAGTCAAATACCTGCAGCTTGACCAGGATGAGACACCACCGATGGGGATAAATATCTCCGATTCATTGCCATTTGGGCAGAACTGATGAAGCCTCTTGGACGAGAGGTGAAATGTCTTTGACCTAAAAACCTAGTCCGGTTGATTTTTCTAAGTTTTTTCAACTTACTGTAACTAAACAGATTAGGAATGCACCAATACCACCTTTTTTCAGACCAAGTACAAGTCCTTACATCTGAGTACGCATCGATACGAGCACTTAAAGTAATAATAATGCAGTGTTTCTACTACAAAAATGACATTTTTATATTCATTAGATTTACCTTGTGATTGTGATTAAATAAAATACAACTGGAGTCTGTGTAAATGTGAAAACTTCTGATAAACACAGCACTGCCACCATTCATACTGAATATAATGTGCAACTGACTGAATGTCTGTAGCCTACTACACAACATACTGAAATACAGTGATTTTTGGCCTTTGTTGGAGCATGACCCTCTGTTAGGATGAAATTATTTCACAACCCCCTTCCAGAACAACAAGATTGGGAGCACACAATATTACAGTCAGCAAATTAACTGTATAATTTAATGAAGTTACATGTTCTTACTTTGAACTGGCTTCTGTCTGTTGCTTCATCCTGTCCTCTCTACTGGACACACACCTGCTCTGCTGTAGAGGAGCTGCTGGTCTCAGCCTCCACGTCCACAATGATTCAACTCATTTTCATACACAGAGCTCATTAGACTCCACTCTTAACTACATAAAATGAGCGTTTGTTTTTTCTTGTTCTCAACAATTCACTATAATCAGCATAACGAGCACTGTGTGGGTTTAATGGGTGAACGGGACCAGGCATTTCTGCAAATATGTTGTATTCTGCTTGTTCAACAAGTGTTTGATTAATCATTCTCTCCATTACTGTTAGTTTTGTTGCATATATTGATTACTGACATCTCTGTAAAATGTGACATTGTGCCTGTGTGTAAAATGCAACACTATGTCTGTATGAGACAGGAAGGGAGGGCCGTTCACAGACACACAGCAGAGCAAATAATAATAACAGCAAACAATCGGCTTTACTTTTGTCATCATCACTTATTTTAAAAAGCCCACAAGCTATTGAAATGTGTTCTCTACCGCCGAGAGCAACTCAACCAATGTGATGTTAATGTAATGCTGCAGTAAAGTGTTATCGTGTGTAGTGTCGGACAACTTTTACGAGTATGAGTACAAGTATTAGAGGGTGGTATCAAACCCGATACCCAATATTAGTATCATATCGGTGGATCCCTAGAACAGACTGTACAAATCCTAGTGTGTAGCAACTGTAACTTTGACTCTGACATGATTTATTCTCTCTCTGTACCTTCAGGTTTCTGCAAGTGGATTTTCCTGATATACTGTAATGAACTTAAGCTAAAGGCTGCCTGGAAGCTAAGAAATTAATCTAAAAACCAATGGTGTACTTTGGAAAACAGTCAGCACTAATGTAAAATATGTGATATGTAGTTAATGGGGTAAAACATACAAAACACTGGTATGGTTCATTAAAACAAAAACGAAATAGCACAGCTGGCCTCTGCTCAAACAGTATGTTTTATCTGGAGCTCACTGCTCTCCAGGCATCTGTCCTCCATTATCTGCAGGCTTCCTTTAAAAGGACTGAACAGGGGATGGAGCAGCAGCACAGCACAGCAAGCTAATAAAAAGTGGGACGTGGATAATGGCATCTGTTTAAAGCCACACAGACACACACACAGAGTCAATTTCAGTATCAGTATTTTTAGTATCTGCACATGAGGAAAGCATCCACCAATGAGTCTGTGACATTGTTAGATCTCTGCTGCTGTTTCCAGAAGACATTGCCCACTGTCCACCATCCTGTCTCATCAAAATACTGAATGTTGCCTGCCTTACTTTTCTTTTTGCTAAGAAGCGTCTGAAAATTATAGCCTGTCTAACACAAATACTGCAAATACTGAACTGGTTACATCAAAGACACTAAAGCAAACATTCCAAAGATGTCACTGATAAGATCACTGGCAAAAAAATGCATTACTGGAATGCTAATGTAAATGCTGTTTTAACATCACAAAGTTCTGCACTGCGGTACATTTCCTTGGGAAAATCTGCAAAATTGCAGACTTCAAGTTGATTTTTACTCTCATATGTATTAGAAGTTACATAAGCTTGTGCACTAAAAAAATACATACAATAAAGGGCCCAAACATCAACCAGAGAGCACTTAAACACTTGCTGATTTTCTAGTGGGGTAACTCTGAACCATTGCAGATTTAGTAAACGTGTTCTTGCAAGCATTTGACTTGCAAAGTAGTGTGCATTATGGTAAAAGCTGAGGTAGATTAAACATTTTGCACAAACGTAACACTAGAAAAAAGCTACAACCTATAACCAGCATCATAATATATGATATAACGTAACCACGTTACCTAAAATCAGGTACATTTTAGTTGCACAAGTTCTTATATTATTAACAAAAATAAAGACCTTACTTAGCTCCAGACTCTCCTTCTTCTGTAACCCCATGAATTTTCTTTAGGTGCTAATGCATTAGCCTCATGCTCATGCTCCCCTGCCAAGACAGATACTTTTTGCATAGTTGGCACTGGACAGTCTTCTTTATGACTGTACAAACAAGTGTCCCAAACTTCAGATGACTGGTCATCCACTTTTCTCTGCTGTAACCATGCACAATACTATCCACCATTTCTGCCACTTTACAAATGTTTTGATCAACCTTACTGACATAGTCACCCAGTCGCTGACCCAGCCATCTCACACAGCTACGTGACACATGTTCGTCTTCATTAGTACACAATGCAGTCATGGCAGATAATGGAAGCGATACTGTCCCCAGCACTTCCTGTAGTGCATTGCAGTTACAAATGAACATTTATGTGGTTTTATATAACGGCGTGTCAACACTAAAGCTCCACATCAATGAATTTTTATAATCTGCACAGTTGGATTACGTCAACTAATCGTTGCAGCCCTGGGTGTGACGTCACACCAAGCAGACTTTTGCTCTCGAGGCGGAAGAATCAAAAACACAGCAGAGACAGAGTTTAGTAACTTGACCACAGAGAAGGACCCTGGCCATCAACCTGATCCAGTTCCAACTTTTATTTTTCCATCTTACCACCTCTTTAAAAACCAACAGTCTTCCATATCCCAGCAGTTTGTGCACACAGGTTTAGGAAAAACACACCGTCTCCAAAACAAACTGTCTATAGCTGCAGTGGGTAGCTCTCTGGTGTAAATGAGTTTAGCTATGAAACAGTGCTGAAAAACTGTTGGTACTCTAGGCAGACCATAAATCAAAATAAGAAAAAAAAAACACACAAACAAAACCTTGTGTACTTACTAGATGAGAGGCTTGCGGCAGAGCACGAGGGCGTCATAGAGAACACACACTCCAAATACGGTGATGCCCGTCTCCTTGACCAGCATGGCACAGGTACCGAGGAACAAACTAATGAGCAGAGACCACACAGAAACCGTGGAGGGCAGAGAGTCCTTGCAGACACAAACTGCCACGCTCCTGAAAGACAGAAGAGAGGGAGAACAAAGGTATTTTATAATGGCAGAAGATTATAGATTGGTTTCATAGATGGCAGGTCACATAGTTATTTGTTCTATAGTAGCATATTGCATCCACATACAGAATAGTATAAAGTTTACTTTGTAGTACAGGTAAAATGATAAAAATGTGCCTACAGCCTACCTGTAGACACATTTGTATCAAGGATTAGGTCACTTACACTGCATGAACACTTCCGTTGTGCTTCCTTTGACTAATCCCTGAATATGAACATTTGATTGCGACATTTCTTATCTGTCAAAAAAATCAATTGGACTAGGCTTTTATGTCGAAGACACAATGGAAATGTTCATGAGGTGTAAATGACTTAATCCTGGATACAAACGCGTCTACAGGTAGGCTGTGTAGACTGCCGATTAGCATTTTTCAGAAATAAAAAGACATGATAGCTCTTTGATGTGACATTTGAAAGCTACATGATTAGGGTTACAATTTGTTATGTAAACTGACAATTAATTATTTACAATGAACTACCAGACCCACTGGAATTCCAGTGCTCCGATTTAAGTGAGGCTCACTCATGAAGTGTGCTGGGCCATATTGCGTTACTAGTAACACATTACCATAATAATATTGACATCAACATGGCTGTCAAGACGGCGCTCCTCGGTGTGCGACACTGCAGTTCACTCAGAGTCAGGTTGTTTCTCTTTTGTCTCTTTTTTGCTTATTTGTGCCGTGTTAAAGCAACAGTTAAGATTGCAAACTTTATTTATGACCAGGCGGCTTTGTTACTACTAAGAGAGATTTTGACCCGAGCACGTTGGACTCTCACCCAGAGTTAATATGCTATGTCAACACGATGCCAGGCTACAACCCCTGGCAGGGAGCTCTTCCAATAACAACAAACCAAAGCGGAGACATGGTAGACGTGGGGGAGTCGAACAGGGGCTCCGGCGCTTGGTTAGAAGCGGCAGGCTAGCCTTCCCCGCTATACTGTTCGCAAATGTCCAGTCTCTGGATAATAAACTGGATGAACTTCATGCTCGGATTACCTCGCAGAGGGACATACAGGACTGCTCCCTGCTGTGTTTTTGTGAAACATGGCTGGGAAAAGAGACTCCCAATGAGGGTATAACTGGATGGTTACTCTGTGTTCAGACAGGATCACAGCACCACTGAAAGCAGCAAGCCCCGCAGAGGAGGAACAGCCGCCTTTGTCAGACAGTCCTGGTGCACAGACTAAGATGCTCTCTAAATTCTCTTCTGAAGATGTGCAATATTTAACACTAAAGCACAGGCCATTTTATTTACCTAGAGAGCTGCAATGTATTGTTGTGAGTATAGTGTGTGCCCCTCCCTCAGGCAAAGAGGAAGCTGCACTAAGGGAACTGTACACAATGATTAATGAGCATGAAAACACATGTTCTGATGCTGCTTTTATTATTCTGGGAGATTTTAACCACTGCAATCTCAGGAAAAGCATGCCTAAACTGTATCAGTTTGTAACCTTTCCTACTAGAGGAAACAAAACACTGGACCAATGTTACAGTAACATTAGAAACACTTTCTCAGCTGAATCTAAGCCTCATTTTGGTAGATCTGACCACCTAGCAATCTGGCTCAAACCTGCTTACACCAAATGACTCAAGTCTCAGTGAGAACTGTTAACACCGACCGACGGGCCAGCCTGCAGGGCTGTCTAGAGGCCACAGACTGGAGCATCTTCAAAGGGGCCACAGATGACATCCATGAATGTGCAGAGACTGAGTGATTACATCAGCTGGTGCGCACCAGCTAGAACGGTGTGTCCTTAACCCAAGCAGGAGTTCCTGGCATTTTCAAAAAGTCCATTATCATACAGATCCCTAAGACATCAGACACATCCAGTCTGAATGACTTCAGGCCAGTGGCGCTCACATCAGTCGCCATGAAGTGCTTAAAGAAACTGGTCCTCACACACATTAACCACATGGTCCCGGACACTGTAGATCCCCTCCACTTTGCCTACCGCCCCAACAGATCAGTGGACGATGCGACAGCTCTGGCTTTATTCCATACCCAGAAACACCTGGATAACAGCAGTACGTATGCTGGGATGCTCTTCCTGGATTACAGTTCTGCATTCAACACCACTGGAGGAAGAACCCCTCCCCTCTGCTGCCTCTGACCATCAAAGGGTCCGAGGTGGAGAGGGCTGACAGCCACAAGTTCCTGGGCCTTCAGGTGACATCTGACCTGAGCTGGTCACTGAACACAGCTGCCACAGTGAAGAAAGCCCAGCAGTGGCTATACTTCATCAGGCGGCTCAGAAAATCTGAGCTGAACCGTCACCCTCTCACCCAGGCTTATAGAGGACTGGTAGAGAGCATCCTCACTACTGGCATCACAGTCTGGTATGGTAACACCACACAGGCAGAGAGGAAGGCTCTTCAAAGGGTCATAAAGACTGCAGAGAGGATCACTGGGACTGAACTGCCTGCTATGGACACACTATACACACAGCGCTGTCGTAAAAGGGCAGAGAATATAATCAGGGATCCAGGCCACCCAGCTCATTCTCTGCTCAGACACAGAAACTACAGCCTCAGGCACAGCAGGGCGGACAGTATCATCACACACAGAACAAGACTTTACAACAGCTTTTTCCCTGCTGCAGTAAGACTGATGGCAAATACAAAAATGTGAGAATATATGTGCAATAACCCCTCACTACCTCACCGAGCATAATGACATATCCAACTGCACCATGTGAATTACTAAGTGCAATGTTTGAAGTTCACTGTGGGAAATACCATTACCCTATTTTTGTGTATTGCAGTTTTAATACTTTGTTGCCTTTATGCAGCTTTTTTATTTTAAGACCAAGTGTTCTTTCTGGCTTTTGACTCCTTAGCTGACTCCAAAGGAGAGCTGCACAAGAATTCCTATATGTCTAGACTGTCTGTTTATGCATACATGGGAAATAAAAATCTTGAATCATGGCAAGGATTGATCTGAAATACAACATTTAATATATGTAGTCATTGTCAAGTGTGATGTCACTTTTTATGGCAGAACTATAAAGGCAACAACATAATGACATTTTGTAGTTTTTCTGACAGTTGGAGTTTGTAGTTTTAGACAGTGGGAAACAGAAATGCCAATATCAGCACCACTTGTCAAGTTAAGGTTTTAGGTGTACAGACAAGAAGCTGGTAATGGAAAATAATGTTCATTATACATTGTAGTGATATGGTTTATAACAATTCTCTTTCTATAATAGGCTGGACATTTAATGTAGAATGTGACTCACCTGTGTGAAATCATTTTTATTAGCATTATTTTTTTCTAATTCTCTATAATAAAGATGTGTATTCGGGGGAACAATTATTTTCAAAGTTTCAGTCCACTTTCACTGTCACTTGAGTCATGTGTGGATCCATTTGGCCACTAAATCAAGTAAATCAAGGATCATGTAATTCACAACCACTTAAGTGTTAAAGGAACGATATGTAATTTCACCACTGATTATAATAAATGATTATTATGTTTTTGCTTTTTTTCAACTTTATTTTTACTTTCAAAGTCTTGTATATCTAAAATAACTACAGTCAGGGAAAAAATTATTTGAACTCCAGCTGATTTTGTAAGTTTGCCCACTAACAAAGAAATGATCAGTCTACAATGTCAATGGTAGGTTTATGTGAACAGTGAGAGACACAACAATAACAAAAAAATCCAGAAAAATGCATTACAAAAAAAAAAGTTAAAAGTAATTTGCATTTTCATGAATGAAATAAGTATTTGATCCCCTATCAGTCAGCAAGATCTCTGGCTCCCAGGTGTATTTTATACAGGTAACGAGCTGACATTGGGAGCCCTCTCAGCTCGTTACCTGTATAAAAGAGACCTGTCCACAGAAGCAATCAATC